GACAGAACATCAGTAGACCTGGAGTCACAGCTGGAGGAGGAGAAGGAGATTTGGGTGTCATAGCACACATGTAGAAGTTGATCCGTGTCTGTAGATGACATTGCAGAGAGGGAACGGGTAAATAAGGAAAAGAAGAGGGCCAAGGATGGAGCCTTAGGGTACAGCACAAGTGACCAGGCTGGGGAGGAACATTAGGGGAGTGAAAGCGATAGGCATTAATAGGAATTTGGTTAAGTAGGACTTGAACCGGCGAGTGTGGTCCCTCTGATGGAGGAGAGTCGGTGGAGGAGGATGGCATGATCGACTGTGTTGAATGCAGCAGACAGGTCCAGGAACAAGGAGGCAAGGATATCCCTGGTCACAGAAAGAGCGGATGTTATTTGTGATTTTGATGAGCTGTGGGCAGTCCAAAATCCAGACTGGCGGGGCTCGAGTGCGTAGGCATTAGAGGGAGAGGTATGAGCCAAGTTGATTTGCAACAACAATTTCACTTTACGTGAAAGACACTATTTAAAAGTATAATTTTTTGTACTGATACCATGACCCCATCACACCCACCCTCGCCTGGCTCCCCATCCCTCAGAGGATCGAGTTCAAAATTCTCGTCCTCACCTTCAAGGGTCTTCGTGGCCTTGCCCCCTCCTACCTCCCCAACCTGCTAACCCCTTATCAACCTGTCTGCCCCCTCCGCTCAGCAGGCTCCAGCCTGCTTCATGTTCCCCTCCCATCCTGCCCCGCCATCGGCGGTCGGGCCTTCAGCCTCTCTGCTCCCACCCTCTTGAACTCCATCCACATTCCCTTCGCCTCGCTCCCTCCCTTGCCTCCTTCAAGGCATGTCCCAACACCCTCCCCTTCAACCGTGCCTTCGACCACCCTCCTAACCCCACCCTCCCTGATCCCAGCCCAGATCGGGTCCTAATCCCTGACTCTTCAGCACCTTGGGACGTCCTCCCGATGCGAAAGGCACTTTACACACGTAATGTTGTATTGTGTTGTATAATTTGAATTTGAATTTAAGTGTATTAAAGATCTTGCAATTAGTATCTCAATGCACAGAGCGGTTAGGCTCTAAGTCAGAGTACAGAAAGAATCTGAGCTGCTAAAATAGAGAAATTCAGAGCGGGGAAACTGGAGGCAGCTTCTGCTCTGGACAGGAGAGTGTCCTGTTTGCTGTTACTGGTAGCTCTGATGGTAGGCGACATGGGCATCGACCAGGGTCTGAGAGCAGCTGAATACTCACTAGCTTTGCAGAGATAACAACGACAACAACTTGCATTTATATAGCACCCTTCACGCCGGACTGCATCTTGGAGCGCTTAACAGTGGCGGAGCCGGATGCCGAGCCAGGCGAAGGGGAAAGGTGACCGTAGGCACCGAGATCTTGTCAAAGTTAGGAGAGCCAAAGGTGCAGCAGAGTTTACTAACAAAAATTGCATTAAAATATTGCACAGAACTACGATAAACGTTTTTCTTCTAATTTTATTCACTTGTCAAATTTATTTTTGTTTCATAAATGAGCATTTCCTTGCTTTAATATTATATTAAGGTACTTTTTTTACATGCGCCAGCCAATGGGAAACCTGTCTTCACACATGTGCGTTTTCTAACAGAGGTGAATAACAGTAATCAGGATGGAAAATCTGGCTGATTTTCCACTCCATAACCTCTGGGGGCTGATCATAATTACAGTATGCTTACAACTTTTAGCAAGGCAGATCAGTTAATTGATCAAACGTGGGACCCTCTGGGTTTGAAACATCTCTGTTTGATTCAAAGCTTTTCTACTGAGACTTCGGAAGCATGGGAGAATGATTGTTAATGAAATCATTCAAGATCTTTAGAGGGTTACTGAACTTGAGGTTTTGAGAGTGTAATACTAATGCAAAAAAATGTAATTAATCCCTGAATTCATAACAATCCTTGCATTTGATACATTGACTTGACACATCATCCAGACATCTCAAACCACTTAACACGATATAACAGTATAACGGGTAAAGTGGTGCGACCGTGTTTTTTTGTGGGTGAACCTAACAGCCAATTCGTGCGCAGCAATGTCTCACAAACAGCTATGGAGTAATGACCAATTTAATCTGGTGGATTGTTGGCCAGGACACAAGAAAAAACTCTCTTCTGCTTTTGAATGGTGCCATGGGATATTGAACCCCGCCCGACAGGCAAACACGACCTCAGTTTAACTTCTCATCTGAAAGCTGGCACTTCCCACAATGTAGCACAACCCCAGCACCGCATTAGAGTGCCTAGACTATATGAGTTCAATGTCCCGACGTGGCAAGAATGCTACCAATTGAGCCAGGCAGACACACAGTAATCCATCTTCCGTGGTTGTTGGATTCAGTAACGCTTCCTCTCCAGTGGCCTATGTTATTGATTAATAATAATAATCCTTGCATTTGATAAAGCACCTTATCACTTCTTTGAGACGTCTCAAAGCACTTCATAGAATATACTGTATCTATATCTTTACTTATGTTATTCACGTTCAAGCAGACGCAAATGCATATCACAATTTTGTCGTAGGCATATTATCGTCAAATGAGACAAGAATATTGCTTTAGTAAAAGGCTTTTACACAGATACCAGCATTGTAACACAACAACTCTGAACGAATATAATTTTCAAATTATTTTAAATTTGTACTTTGGTTAATTTGTTGAATAATCAGGATTAGTATTAGGATTGGTAACTGAAGGATTTTTTAATGAATTTCCCTCAAAATAAAGGTCAAATCTCGGTCTGTACCGAGAGGGTTTGAACACATATACAGGCAACGAAACATAGAAGAGTACTTTGTGTTTAAAGGCTTCCTGTGCTTACTGGAACGTATGAGTCAGTGTTTACTATAAGCTTTGATAGTGCTCCGTTTTTGAAAAGGTTACATCTTATTTCCTAAAACTTGTCTTAAACAAATTACATTTTTGCAGCGTGGGCTTATTTATGTTGATAATTCAAAGTGCTAATTATTCTTGAATCCATTTAGAGCATCTCTCACCGGGTATTAGCAAAAATCTCCATTAGTTTTCAAGATTGGAATTATTTTACTTATTATTTTAATAGTTTGGTCACTTAATCCATGACTGTTTGTGGGACACTGTTGTGCGCAATTGGCTGCCGTGTTTTGTCCACAAAATATACAGTCAATTAACTTTACAGGATATTCTGTAAAGCGGTTTGAGACATCTCAACAATGTGATAAGGCGCTTTATCGAATACAAGGATTATTTATTATTTATTTATATATACTGATTACCAACTGTTTCTAAATTAAGAAAAATGTTTTATAACTGAAAGAAACCATTGTTACCCTAAAACTTGTAGTGGTGAACTCAGTGGTTCACATTAAGCTCTGTAACTGATGATGTTTTGTTCCTTTTCAAGTATATTTCGTTGTTTTTCACATTGCCTTAAGTATATTGTCACAAGTGTGTGGCCTAATACAACTGGTATTTCTGTACACTGGGTAGCCAGCTGTTGAGTTAAAGACAGAATCTCACCTCCACAAAATAAGATCTTTGTATTGCCTTACTCCTCTTTTAGTCAATATTTGAAACATTTTGGTTTGAATTAGTCCTAAAAGCAGAATCTTGAAACTGTCTTGTCAGGAGCAAACATGAGCCAATTGTTGTAAAGCATGTGAAATACCATTCACATTTGATTTTAAGTCCCCTCCACCATTGGCGGTCATTCTCTCAGCCACTATGCTTCGAAACTAGGGAAATCCCTGCATCAGTCCCTGTGTTATGCCTCCTCTCCGCCTATCTTTAAATTACACCCATAGAACTTCCTCTTCCCTTTCAAACACAGATTAGATAGTTTTCTTTTAGAAAATAACATTATGGGATGTAGCACATAGATAGTTTGGGAATTATGTGCATGCGACCGGCAGGAAGGTGGAAGACGAACTAGATGGACCTTGGTCTTTTTTTTCGTCCAGCATTTCTTATGTTCTTTCCGGAATTCGGTAATCAGGATAGGTCCCTCCAGGGAGAGACTGTGTATTCTATTCCAATAATCTATCTCTGGGATTTCCATGTGTAGATGGGATGCATGGAAATCTCAGCTTGGTTTGGATGATCTTACGCACGGCGATGGGTTTCTGCCTGACAGACCAAAAAGACAAAAATTGATGAGTGACAATAAAAGACAAGAAGCGGAGGGAGTTCAGCATGCCTTCTGAACCTTATTTCAAATAGAAATATTTGAAACATTGACCAAAATTGAACGTAACAATCACAGTGTTATCAATCATGATGTTATCATCATCGGAGTGTTCAGAATTTGGGGAAAATTCTACGGATGAGGCTCTGTCTTTGATTGAATGTAAGAAAGAGTGAGTGCACATCCATATGACAATACACACTCAAACTATTCAAAATATACATAAAATCAGATCTTTCGGCCCAGAATGCAGCCATTAGTGCTTTTGCTGGAAATGGGGAAAATCATCAGCTTCAGAGCTCGGTTTACTGAAAATGCGTTGTACCTTTTAAGTTAAATATGTCTGTAACTTACTTCAAAAACCTTCAAGCAGTGCTATTTTTTAAAAAAAAACTGGACGGCTCCTGAGGGTATTCTTTTAACAAATATTCCCATTTAAAAAATATATCAAATCAGTGTACCTTCAACCCAACAGGACTGCTTTAATGCATCTGTTCATCTCTGGTTCAGAACAGATACACAGTTTAACTTTTAATCCTGAATCCAAGGATCTCTTTCAATCTGCAGGGGATCGGGAGTTGGAAGTCAATTTTCAAGGGGTTGAGACTGGTTGAAACTCAAGTGTACTTACTATGGTTTCATTCAACTGGATGGATACTTTTTAAAACAAAATCTTTGCTATAAATGTTGAATCATGTTGTTCAGCTTCAAATTCCCAAATAATGCGGTTATTTGTCATATTGTAGCAAACGCTTCCTTGTGTTCAGAAAAAAATCAAAGGGTGATAATTTATATTTGTTATCTCCGATTGTCTTGAACAGTTGGACTGGAAAGACTGCGAAAAAGTTGTGAGAAAGAATGGTATTGGCGGCCAAAAATTCCTGGTAAGTATTCATTCCAGTTGAGAAATACCCAAATTGTGCCTTTATTTTCTCTGATCAATGCTGCTTTAAGAGCAGGAACCGACTTTTTAATCCATCTACATTATGAGAATCTCATGTATTGGTTAAAATTAATTTCTACATTGTTTCCCAAAAGCTATAATCAGGTGACTGACGCTAGAATCAGATCCACCATCACTGTTATGCTTTCAGCCACTTCACTCCCAAACTGCGGAACTCTTTGCCTCTCCCTCCATCTTGCCTTCTCCCTTGGCCATCTTCAGATCACACCTGAAGTCTTCCTACGTTCCAATGGTTACCTCAGTGTGAATATCATTGATGAATACTAACAAGGATCCAGATCGTGCCATAATCTCCACAAATGGATTCAAATACAAATAAAGCCATCATCTGAACTTTACAGGATAGATGTTAGAAGAACTTACAGCGTTCAATACCAATAAGGTNAAAAAAACACATCATTTTAATTTCTGTCAAGAAGAGTGATTGTTTTTGTAAGCAGAAGCAACATTGACGTGAATGATCAGTTTATCTGAACAATTCTTGAGCAAGATAACAGGTGAAACACACTTCTGTTTTTCAGCGAGTATCACAAGATCCTTAGCGTCCATCGGAACAAGCAAGGTGCCTCGATTTAATATTTCGCCTGAAAGACACACCTCACATAATAATCAGCACTGAGTTTGCCCTCAAATCCCAATTTGAGCTTGCACCCTCAACATTCTGATTCAGAGGCAAGAGTGGTACCAAATAAGACAGGCTAACATATATAACAGAGACTACAGTTATTTCAAGTCGACGATCTCTCAGGATTCAGGTAGTGGGTTTAAATTGACAATACATTTCCTCCCCAGCTGCAAAAGTTGTTCCAGTTAGCATCAGAAGTGTTTGGCTTGGCCCAATAATTGGGTAAAGAATTNAAAAAAAACTCAGAGGGAGAAACAAAAGGGGGTCGTCCTCTGGTATCATTCATATAAATCTTCTCTGAATCCTCTCCAAGGCCCTGACATCCTTACTAAAGGGGGTGCCCAGAATTGGACACAATGAGGCCTAACCAGGATTTGTAAAGGATCAGCATAACTTCCTTGCTCTTATACGTTATGCCTCTATTTATAAAGCCAAGGATCCCATATGCTTTTTTTTAACAGTTTTACATTCAAAGATTTGTGTTTGTGAACCCCCAGATCTCTCTGTTCCTGCATTCCCTTTAAAATTGTACCATTTATTTGCATTTTTTGATGAAATCGGTAAAATAAAAATTGTCTTTCTAAAATTCTATAAAATCCAATTTGAACTGGTGTCTAACTTGTAGATTGGATCTTTTGAAGGCCGAAGAAGGCAAATCTGTAATATGTTTGTACAGTGAACAGTTAGAGATAGAAAATTAGTTACTCAAAGAGACACAGAATATGAGGGAGAGGGGCAGAGAAAGATGAGGGTAAGCAAGGTGTGTTACTACAGTATATTCACTTTTTAGCATGGCACCTAATTCTTGATGTAGTAATGTTTAGTTTTGTATTTTGGAAGATTTCTAATTATCTGCACTGTTTTCTTATCACCAATGGAGCCAGTTCCAATTAGTGTGGATCATACAACAATAATAATCTTTTCATTTGATACAGTGCCTTATCACGTTTTCAAGATGCCCCAAAGCATTTCACAAAATATACTGCAAAGTAAATTTACTGTATATTTTGTGGGTAACATGCGGCAGCCAATTTCACACAGCAGTGTCCCACAAACAGTCATAAATTGAATGACCACATTTTTTTATTAACCCCGGAAAAGCGATCTGCCAATCAACTGACAACCAGGTTCCAACTTACTGCAAAGCAAGCAGAGGCATATGGAGTAAGGAAACATGCCTAAGGTTTCGCCCTGCCTGGGAATTAAACTCAGGTCCTTTTGCATGCGAGGCGAGTGCTCTAATCAATTCGCTACAGGACTCTAAATTATTGTCTTGCTATCATTGTATTATTATTAGCGTCTCTACCGTAATAATACTTGTGTTCATCAAATAACAAATGCTTTAATTGTATCTGGCTTTTTTTTGTTCGAAATTGCGTCAATTTATTCCCGATTTTGTGACACCAAAAATAGATTCCGCCCCCTCTTATTCCCTCCCCCCCCCCCGCCCCCGAAAAATATCCAAGTTTTTATCTTGTGGATAAAAATCTACTTTAATGTTCCTAGATTATTGTAACTATGTGCTGTCTATTATTTGCAATTCATTAAAAGCTTACTCATTTTAAACTTAGATGTTCTTTATTTTGCAGAGCATGTCAGAAAATGACATCCAGAAGTTCCCCACGTTAAGAGTCCCGTAAGTAATTCTGTAGCTGAACTGTCTAGTGTGTAGCAATACCATACTACATATAATATAAGGACCTGCTATTTACCCGTATAACTCCCAGTATGATTGCAGTTTAGATGACCGATATTGTTAGTTTGGCAGTTAAGCTGCAATGTTTTTTACAATATTGTGAGTAATATTAAAATGGAAGCAATCTAAGATGAATACAACAACAACAACAACAACAAAATGTAATTTGTACAGCACCTTTCACGTCGGGAGAACGGCCCAAGTGGCTGGACAATTAATGTTTTTTCGGACCTGAGCTGGGGCTCGGGTTCAGGGAGGGTGGAGGGCAGGGGGTTAAGGAGAGTAATTGAAGACACAGTTGAAGAGGAGGGTCTTGAAACAGGTCTTGAAGGAGGCAAGGAAAGCGGAGAGGCCAAATGTCCTTGTGTTTTGCTGAAGTTATATTACTGATTTCTATAGACTTCATATTTTACACAATTAGTTTTGAAATATAATATTTTGTGTAACATGATAACATTACTACTTATAAATTAGTCTATAGCTGTAATGCAATACAATTCTGTTTCAGAGAATCTGGTAGTTCAATCGTGTTGATGCTTCTGTTGATGGATCATGGATCTGTAATGCCAGGCTTGTCTGTCTGTGCACGGAGTGTGTAACAGAAATGTTTATAGTGCTTACATTTGATATGACACCTTTCATGTTGAGAAGACATCTCAAAGGACTTCACAGGATTTACTGTACAGACTAAACAATGATTGCACATGACAATATCTGTTTACACACACAAAACACACACAGGCTTGACAGCTTTTTGCGATATATAAAAAAATAATTCCACTGTGTCAATGGTACCACTTCCCATTTCTAAAGTCACTTTTTTATTCATCTCACTTTCCAGCTCTTTGCCATAGAAAGCCTTGGTGTATTGTGTGGCTCGATGCGTCAGGGAACCCACATGTGGCAATTTCTTTCTTAACTTGGTTCCGGTCAATGATACCGACACTATTCAGGGAAGTGGAAATAGATCCACTAAGTTACAGTGACAATAGCTAAACAACAGCTCAGTTTCATAAGATTCTCAAAAAGGGAGAGTGCTCAGAAATACCACAAGACTGCAATGTCTTTAACCGTTCTTCTACCCACACAGCTTTCCCCCATCTCCAAAGGAATGCCTGCCTCCGTCATTACCTTTCCCCTCAGACTGTTGAGACCCTAATCCATGGCTTTATCATTTCCAGGCTTGACTACGTCAATGTTGTATTTACTGCTCTCTCTCCCGCTCTTCCCCATACAAACTGCAGACTATCCAGAATTCTGCAGCGATCTCCGTACCCTCTCCCTCACCTCCCCAGGCTCAACAAGCTTATCACCTCAATCCTTGCTCAGCTTCATTGGATCGAGTTCAGGGTTCTTGTTCTCACCCTTAAAATGTTTCCACCCTCTGATCCTAACCAATGCCTGCAACTTCCTTCAACCCTAAAGCTAACCCTTCGCTTAGTGAGCACCGGCCTGCTTCATGTTCCATTGCCTTATTCCATCTTTTGTTGGATGGGTTTTCAGTCAGTCTCCTGTCCTCTCTCTGGAATTCCATCCTGGAATCCCTTTGATTTGCTCCCTTCTTTCAAGGAACGTCTCAAAATGTACCTCTGTCCCCTACCCACGCCTCAGCTCCCGCCTCCAGCTCAGTGCCATTCAGACTATGAATGTGCTTTGGGAAGTACTCTCGACACAAAAGGTACAATACAAATGTTTAACAGCGAGCAAACAGTTGAGTGAGACTGAATTTTGAATTTATCTAAAAGGTAATAGAACTATAGAAATGTATGCACAGAAAAAGGCCATTCAGACCATTTGTGGCTGTGCAGGCTTTTTTTAAAGAGCAATCCTTTTAATCCCGTTGATATTACATTTTCCCATATTACTGTAATTTACTCCTTTGTAGATAGAATTTACTCTAGTTCCCCTTTGAAAGTGAGCATAGATTCTGCTAAACCAATGTTCCTGCCAAGACATTTTATAACCTAACTACTCTTGTGTGTGAAAACAATTCTTCTCACTTCTGCATTTGCCTATTTATTAGCTATTTTAATTTAATGCCCTCTGAGCACTGTCTCCCCAACCAGTGGAAATAATTTCTCCCTATTGACTCTCAAAATCCCTCATAAAGACCATCTCTCAGGCCACCCTTCAACCTTTTCTGTTCCAACAGAAAAAATATCAGTTCCTCCAGTCTCTACTCATAGGCCAAATAATAATAATAATCCTTGCATTTGATATTGCGCTTTATCATGTCTTCAAGACAGAATATATTGTAGAGTGAATTGACTGTATATTTTCTGGGCAAACCACTCATCCCCGGTTTCTTCCTAGTAAATCTCCTTTACAGCCCTCTAAGGGCCTTTCTTCCACGACTATTCTGGTATTAAATGACGTATTATTTTTTTTTGTTCCTTGTTTCCTATTGACCACATACGTTGGTTGCATCAATGATATCCTGTATTTGTGTGAACAACCCTGATCCGACATATAGTTTGCTTGCCACCTGTTGAATCCCTAAGATTCTCTGAATTTCTCTTCACATCCTTTGCCTATTTTTTCTATATGGTTATCATCCTCCTTTAGAGATTATTCCTGTTTGTGTATACAAGTGCTTTGATATTCCAGTATGCTCTAATGCCCACTGGTGCTTGCCATCTTATTGTTGGCCATCTTCGCCTGATTACCTCCATCAGTGATTTCTTTCAGTTTGCTGTCTCTGCTTGTTTCACTTCAGATTTCTTCTTTGTTGCTGATGCTTGCTAAATTCCTTTCTTGTTGTTTTATTTTCTTTTCCAGTGCTTTATCTTCCGGTTTCGCTATTCCCTTTCCTACTGTTTTTCTGCAAGTGTAATGTCATTATCTGTTTTCTTAAGGTGTATTCATCAATGTTTTTTTTAAAAGTTGATTCTCGGTGTTTATGATTATTGTGTGTTAGCCTGGCTCAGTGTTAGCCTGGCTCAGTGTTAGCCTGGCTCAGTGTTAGCCTGGCTCAGTGTTAGCCTGGCTCAGTGTTAGCCTGGCTCAGTGTTAGCCTGGCTCAGTGTTAGCCTGGCTCAGTGTCAGCCTGGCTCAGTGTTAGCCTGGCTCAGTGTCAGCCTGGCTCAGTGTCAGCCTGGCTCAGTGTTAGCCTGGCTCAGTGTCAGCCTGGCTCAGTGTCAGCCAGGCTCAGTGTCAGCCTGGCTCAGTGTTAGCCTGGCTCAGTGTCAGCTGGTTCAGTGTTAACCTGGCTCAGTGTCAGCCTGGCTCAGTGTCAGCCTGGCTCAGTATCTGCCTGGCTCAGTGTCAGCCTGGTTCAGTGTTAACCTGGCTCAGTGTCAGCCTGGCTCAGTGTCTGCCTGGCTCAGTGTTAGCCTGGCTCAGTGTTAGCCTGGCTCAGTGTCAGCCTGGCTCAGTGTCAGCCTGGCTCAGTGTCTGCCTGGCTCAGTGTTAGCCTGGCTCAGTGTTAGCCTGGTTCAGTGTCAGCCTGGTTCAGTGTCAGCCTGGTTCAGTGTCAGCCTGGTTCAGTGTCAGCCTGGTTCAGTGTCAGCCTGGCTTAGTGTCAGCCTGGCTCAGTGTCTGCCTGGCTCAGTGTCAGCCTGGCTCAGTGTCTGCCTGGCTCAGCGTTAGCCTGGCTCAGTGTTAGCCTGGCTCAGTGTCAGCCTGGTTCAGTGTTAGCCTGGCTCAGTGTCAGCCTGGCTCAGCGTTAGCCTGGCTCAGCGTTAGCGTGGCTCAGTGTCAGCCTGGTTCAGTGTTAGCCTGGCTCAGTGTCAGCCTGGCTCAGCGTTAGCCTGGCTCAGTGTCAGCCTGGCTCAGTGTCAGCCTGGCTCAGTGTTAGCCTGGCTCAGTGTCAGCCTGGCTCAGCGTTAGCCTGGCTCAGTGTCAGCCTGGTTCAGTGTTAGCCTGGCTCAGTGTCAGCCTGGCTCAGTGTCAGCCTGGCTCAGTGTCAGCCTGGCTCAGTGTCAGCCTGGCTCAGTGTCTGCCTGACTCAGTGGTAGCACAATGTCCTCTGAGTCAGGAGGTTGTGGATTCAAACCCCACTAAGTGTCAGCTAAGATTCAGAGTCAGGCTCTGCCACTGTTAAGCACTCTGAGACGCTACCCTGCGTGGAGGGCGCTATATAAGTGCAAGTTGTTGTTGTTGTTATGATTCCAAATGCAGACTTGGAATTATATAGTCTAAAGCGACACTCCAATGCAGTGCCGGGGGGCGGAATTGCATTGTCGATGGTGATGTCCTTGAGATGAGAAGTTAAACTGAGATCCTGTCTGCCTGTTCACATGAATGTTAAAGATCTGAATGCATTATTTGAAAAGAAAAGGGAGATTCTCCCAATGCCTTGGCCAACAATCCCCAAATAAAATTGGTCTCTCACTCCATGGCTGTTTGTGAGACATTGCTGTGCACAAACTGGCTGCCATGTTTGCCTACAAAATACACAGTGAATCCACTTCACAGCATCTCAATGATGTGATAAGGAGCTATACCAAATACAAGAATTATTACAGGTACTTGATTATGACTACTCCTCTACCTTTTCCCCGAACAAGTATTGATAAAGCTCTTCACATCTGAATACAATTGCTCGTATTTCCGCGACGAGGGCTATATAAATGCAAGTTGTTGTTCCCAATCTAATCTCTCACACTACCGTCCCATCTCCCAACCTACCCTTCCTTGCCAAAGTCCTGGAATGCACTGTTGCAGGTCAACTTTGATCACGCCTCTCCCTCCACTCCCTCCTCGAGCCCCTGTAGTCTGGTTTTCGTCCTGACTGCCCACAGCACAGAGCCAGCGCTTGTCAAAGTCACAAACGACCTTCTCTCTATGTGTGACCAGGGCTCCCTCTGCCTCCTCGTCCTCCTGGATCACTCTGCTGCGTTCGACACAGTCAACCACACCATCCTCCTCCACCACCTCTCCTCCCTCGTCCACCTTAGTGGGACCGCACTCACATGGTTAACCAACCGCCTCCATTTCAT